TTCTGTTAAAACTCCTTTTCTGCCACCCAATGCACAGTGTTTACTAGAACTTATTAAACTACATTGTAATGTTTAACTTTCTTACTAGACTATATGTTTCTTGAAGGAAAAAATCCTTGTCTTATTAATCTTCATATCACTAGAACCTAGCCTACTGCTCAAAGAGTTGATATATATTTATTGAGCAATGGGATTAATGAATATAAGTTGTTTCCTTATCCAGAAGTAAGTCACAAAATTGGTGACTCTAGCTGGTATTTGGTAATGATAAACCATATACAATAGATTGCATTCTTGATAATGTGAAATATCAAAATGCAAAGAATAAATTCATAGTATGGATTTTTTTCAAAATTAGCAAATAGAAATATCCACTTAAATTATTTAAGAGGAAAAGAAAGTTTTATCTAAGAATTGGTCAGCAGATATTTTATCTTTTATAGGAAAGGCGTTTGTGATTTTATTAGAAAACTCAAAAGGCACAAATCATAAATTGCTTCTGAACAGCAACCAGAAACGTGAACTGAAGGTCATATGCGATCAACTACAGAATAGAAAGCAGTAACTTGAATTATGGACACTACAGGGGCCAACTACTGCAGGATATTGCAGATACTCTTAAAGAGGACAGTGGTAGCGGACAGATGCCAATTCTTCAGAGAATGGAGCCTCTAAGAAGGAAGGGGCAACTGTAGCCGTTGCCTTTGTTAACTGAAGAACAGATTGACGCAGGCAAACTTCTGAGAGAATGTTTGACAATGTCAAATGTGTGTGAGGAAAGAAGCCTGATATTGGAGACTCAGCTACTCATGAGTCAGAGTTAAAGAGAGGAAAGTTTTTAATTGCACTGGAATGCCTTCTGTCATTTGAAACGATCTGGATTACACAGTTTCTAAATAATCAGATGGTAAGCCAAACCTATGGAATGACTTTCAACCTTTATTAAAGAAATGAGCACAGGCCATTTAGAGCTAGTAATGAGGATAGGGCGAGATTTTCCATGACACAAATAGAACACAAAACAATTTAAAATGAAGTGAATAGCAGTGCTGACGATGAAGTAAGATTAATGAACTAATAGTTCAATTGAGGCTTTTCTTGTGATTCTGAAGATTAAGTTTATCAAGTACAAGCTTCAGAGAAATTTCTAAGTCACGTGATGAGATGTCAAGGTCAAGTGAAAACAAATGCAATCAAAGGGCCCCATGTTAGCTTCTACTGTTCCTAGTTTCTTCTGTTATTCTCCATTCTAAGGTTTAAGAAGCCAATGTTTATTCTTTCTGAATCTAAACTGTATTTGCCAGTTCTTCCTCTAAGAAGCTAAAAGTAAATCTCTTTTATATATTTCCCCTGGTAACTTACTTCTACTGAAGCACTGAAAGAGTATATTATATTTTGTTTGCTCTTAATTATGAAAGTTTTTACACCATGTAACTCTGTTCTCCACCTCATTTGTTCAAATTATTCTGTTTGGTTATTTATGTGTCCTATTAAAATGAACCTGAAAACTTAGGTTTACATGGAAATTATGCCAATTATTATTTTAAGATCCTAGTAAAGGCCATTTTCTATCCTAATTGTACATCCCATGAATTTACTTGTACTCTGTTTAAACATACTATAATGTACAAAGTTTTTTCAATTACATTATTTCCATTTACCACTAATGCATATTTAGGTTATTCAAATAGATAAGCCATTTATGTCTGTAAATTTAAAAACAGAAGATGTTAAGGACTAATGATAAAACTCTACTTTCTCTCAAATATCTCCAGTACTGGAGAAAATAGTTGACAGGTGGTAAACTGCTATTTACCTATTTACTCCCAATTATATTAATATCTCTTCTTGCACTCTATAGAAAAAACAAATTGGCACTCAATGAAATAATGCAGTATGTTCTTGAAATAGTTATTTATTTTATTTTGTAGTTTCTTGGTGGAAACCAAAAATCAACAAAACTTTTCTGGTTGCCTCCTGAAAGATTTTACATTTTGAAACTCAATGTGGATGAAAATACCTGGCTCATAGCCAAGTATAATATATGTCTTACTGATTACTAGTTTATGATAATAACAGAGTACCCAAGTTAAAAAAAATTTGTTCTAAGGAAGAATATTTTTCTCTACTAACTTGAGTATTTAATACACCTAGTAAGAAACTACAGGGGTAATGATCAGTACTCAGGCTGGAGAAACAGCTTGGCCTAAATGCATTATTTAATAGGAAAACACACTTTCACAGTTTATCATGTACTTATATACACTAGGCCAGTTACTATTGTCCTAATTTCATAATTATGCAAAACCATGATAAGTCTACCTGTGCTAATGATACAGAAATGGAAAATATCAGAAGCTACTGCTGAGAAGAGAGAACTCCCACTTTTGGGTCATGATGGAAGAGCCTGGTGGACTGGTAACATCTCTTTAAAATAAATGCCTTTTTAAAAACTTTAATTGTTAAATTGTTTTTTTGAGACAGGGTCTCACTATGTTGCCTAGGCTGGACTTGAACTCCTGAGCCCAAATGATCCTCCCACCTCAGCCTCCCAAATAGCTAGGACTACAGGTGCATGCCACTGCACTCAGCTTTAAAATGAATGCCATTTAAAAATGAATAAGGGCAAATACATTGTTCATAATGTTTTATTCTTTGAGCTTCCTAGAAAATGGAGTATATACACTTACAAGAATGTCAGTTATTTGATTTTGAAAAGCTTCACAGAATTCCATTTGAGACTCAAAGATATACCTCATGAATTGAGTTTCAAAAAAGTTAAAAGTTCTAAGAACTCTTCAAAATGAGAAATACATTAATTTCTCAATGCCCAATAAGATTCATCACCTCATCTCACAGATAGGATTAAAATACTTATCTTAAAACATGTTTATTGGCTCGAACATTTTTTGTCTCCTTTTTCCGTCTAGTGTGTTTAACATAAAATTAGTGATTGGGAGCTTGAAAGTAGTAACAGTCAGTAGGAATTTAATATTCTTGCTCTATCATCTCATTTTAACTTTTGATTGAGTCAGGGGTTGAAACCGAATTTTTTCCCTATGTTAGCTAATTTTATTTAGCCCTGACCCATGGAAATTCTTTTTGAGACAGAGTCTCACTCTGTTGCCCAGCTAGAGTGCTGTGGTGTCAGCCTAGCTCATCGCAACCTCAAACTCCTGGGCTCACGCAATCCTCCTGCCTCAGCCTCCCAAGTAGCTGGGACTACAGGCATGCGCCACCATGCCTGGCTAATTTTTTCGATTTTTGGTGGAGACGGGGTCTCGCTCTTGCTCAGACTGGTCTTGAACTCCTGAGCGCAAATGGTCTGCGCGCCTCGGTCTCCCAGAATGCTAGTATTGCAGGTGTGAGCCACCGCGCCCAGCTGAAAATTCCTAATGAGTTATCAAGATATTGTTTCTTCAGTTCAGTACTGTGACAGATTATGAAAGTAACAAATGGATGGAGATATGAACCGCTGTTTTCTTGAAATAGGAAATACTGTGACAATTTTGAATGGTGATGTTTTGGGGGCAGAGAGAGGGGAGAGTTCTCTTAGGATACCTCCTCCAGACTAGTGCTCTAGGAGGGTAGCATGAGAATTTTGCACCTTTCCATTCTACTGGTGGACCTAATATGTTGTGATTCCTGTTACCTGCAAAGGATAGTATGTACAACAAGGCCTCACTGCTTGGGAGAGTTTTCATATTTATAGTCAAAAGGCTCTAGGCCCAGTCCTGGATATAGGGCCTTATACAAAATCATGAATATCATCTGGAATTACCTCCTCCTTGTAAATTAAGATTACTTACTTACTAATTTATTTATTTAGCTGATGTATGAACATTTTCTCTTGTGCCAGGAATGGGGACAGTAGATAAAGGCAGAACCTCTGACATGGAAGGGGTCACCATCTATGGAAATAGCTGTTGCAGTGTTCTTCTGAGCCTGAAAATTTTAAATAACAGACATGCCTTTGCTTTATGATCTATGAAGTGCTATACAATTCAAGAGGTCCGACAACCAAAGGCAGCAAGTTAAGGCTAAAAAATTAAACTACAAGCATTTGTTAGGTTGAATATAAGAATAAAATAAAGGTGTAGTCACCCTTGATTATTCACGGAGTGGCTAGTTTATGATTATCAATGCCCTTTGATTCTCCTTCTCCTTCCAACTACCAACTATTGAATATTTCTCTGCTCATTAACACCTGTCTAGGAGTGGGAAGGTGAAATGCTAATCAGCCAATTTGGCTAATTGTTAGCTGCTGCCATAATCCTTTTTTTTTTTTCTTTTTTAAGTTGAGGAAGGGAAAAATTGAAATCTTTTACTAAAATGTTAGCTATAGATTTCTAAACTTAATGTCACTTTCCCTTTCTTTGACTGCATAGATAAATTCATAGATATTTTGTTTTCAGAAAGGTATTGAAGAGAATTAAAACGATATTCATCAGTTCTCAAGTATCAGACTATGACTTCACATTACATAATTCTTATTGGTCAGTGTTTAGAAAATCTTAACCTCTGAGAGAAAGACTAGAATAAAGCTTTTGGATTTAATTGTTGCAATTTTAAGTGTACCCCTATTATAAATAACTGCACTTGCTAAATGGATTTGGACCAATAGGGAATTAACTTTAAGAAAATTACTTGAGATTATCCTCCCCTTTGCCTCTGGTAGACATTACAGGACCCTCCCCAAACCAAATAAGGGAAAGACGAATGTTCTGAGCTTTAAGGGCACTAAGAATAAATCTGAGCTGTCACAGATAAGATTACTTTCAACTCTTTATTTCATGTTTTCTGACATAGACCCCAAGATCTGTAATTATCTTAGAGAAACTGCGGGGGCTTAGACAGTACTTCTTAGTTCCTTTGGCTTTTGGGTTTTTGTTGTTGTTTTGGTTTGGATTTTTTTCCTATCTCTCTTTGGGGCTGGAGATCTGGGGTGTGTGTGTGTGTGTGTGTGTGTGTGTGTGTGTGTGTGTGTGTGTTCCCCTAGAGTGCCAAAAAAAAAAAAGTGCTTAAGAGTCCTAGGGTGATGAGGCTATTTTTGTTTGAAGCTGATACTTCTAGCTGAGCCACAAGTGCTGCTTGGAAGGGCTTAGGTTGTTTCCAGGGGGAGAACTCTGCAGAGAAGAGGCAAAGTTCAACAGGACAACAAAGAAGCAGCAGAAACAGCCAGGAAAACGAAGAGCCCTCACGTTTAAACACACAACCCTCTATCAGAGTTCTCGAATCTGAAAATATTCTGCAAAGTGCTACTTGACGGGAACTTTTCACCTGACTTTTACTTTCTACGACCACCATGACTGAGATCACTGCTGAAGGTATTTGCTACCATTTTCCAATAATATTGAATAAGGAAAAGAAAAATGTGTAAATTGACAGCCACACTGATTGTCAATATGTCCATTAAAAATGTTGCTTTGAGGTAATTGCCTTGTTCAATGATTCTATACAAGATCAGAGAAGTGGATTTGAGAGCTGAGATGCTGCCAGATCTGTATTTTGGGGGAGCGAGAAGAGATTTCTTTGAAATTTTGCATGTGGAAACTGTGCCCTGATATAGCAAAGGGCCCACAAGTTAACAGTTGTCACCCACACCTCTATAAATAGCTATGGTCATGTAACATGATGGCTGATATTAAATATCTTATCTAGCAAAAATTACAAAGCTTGCAAGGATGGAGACCCTGATAAACTTAAAATATTACATTTAATGCCTAAACTTAAAATAATAATTGTGAGCATTTTTGCTTTATGTTATTTTAAAATGGAGATGTTAAATTTGTTTTTCCTTTCCAAATAGAGTATGTAAATATACACGGACACATAGATAAGGCTTATATACAATTTGAGATATAAATGCTCCAACAAAATTTGTATCTGTTTTGTTACTGATAGATATTCAGAGATAAAGTTTGGAATTCCACAAATTCACTACAGATTAATGCAATTTTAAAAATAAGGCAATTAAGTGTTAGAATTCTGATTCTATTTATAAACTCATTCCTCTTTGCCCTCTAAATGTTGAATTCTATCCTTATATTAAATATTTTTCTGTTTTAATGCTTTTATTGAAAACTACATGTTGTAACTAAAATATTTAATTTTTATTCCTTCCCCATGGTAGCAACTTTAACACACACACGCACACACGTTTCTTAGAATAAAGGAACCCTTTCAAACTAAGGCATTATGAATACAGACAAAGTATGATTCTAGTTAGGGTAAAAATTTTGGAGGTGGATCTAAAATTTGCTTCTGACAGCTGCAAGAAAACCAGACAGGTGGTGCTCTTGACAGTTTCCAAGTGAAATGCTGGACTGATTTGTTTTGAATCAGACAACTGAAAAATAGAATATGTGGTTTTTGTCTTTTAGGGTAAAAATTAGGATGAACACACAATAATTTCTGGTAGAGATTTTCAGTCAATATTTATAAGACGAATTGTCCTACTTGCACCTTCCTCTGAGAAATTCAGAATGGCACCCCAAATGAATAACAATTACTGAGAGATTTCTGTGTATTAGATGATTTGTTCAGAATGTTATGAGTATTTACTTATTTTAACCTTATGCAATTCAATTAAGTAGGCATTATTATCTTCATTTTGCAGAAAAAGAAACTAACTAGAATGTTTTGTGACTTGCTGAAGACCACAGCATTGCCCAGGATTTTAAGCCAACTCCCTTAAATTTAGTTTGTTCTTTCTTTCCTGTAAGATAAAAATAAAGTTTATTCTTTATCAATTTTAGTTCAGAATTTGCTACCTAAATATAAATAGCATTTTTTTCCTATTCCTTAGATATTCTGTGTCATGTGGCCTATATTTTGTCTTAAAGAGATCTGTCTATAAAAACTTCTTGCTTAGCTCTGCACAAGTTATTAAGATACCTATGACTATGTTTCCCTACCTCTGTTCAGAGAACAGACTGGCAGCTGATTCAAGAGTTCAGTTGGCCAAACCATTTTTGATTTGCCTGTGGATTATACTCTGTAGACCTTTGCACTTGATTCATAAAACGTTTTTAGGAGAAGTGTTGGTTTGAGGTAGAACATTTGTTTCTGCCTTCTCTCTATGGAGAGTTTAAAGGGGTTTTGGAAGACCTGAAGTTTTTTGGTTTTTTTTTTCAATTTTTATTTTTTAAATTGAATTAGTAATAAACTTTAAAAGTAAAAATACCATCTAATTCCTGGGTAATGGTCATTTACCACTCCTGATCTTAACATAATAATAAAATATCTATGTCATCTGAACATCAATTATGTGCTTTTTTCCTTTTCTGGAATGATTTATTAATAATATTTTTCAAATTAAAATTCAACTGCCAACTCAAATGAACTTATCTTTTAAGATTTAGTACCACAGTCATTCTGCATGTTTATCCAGAGTTTTTCGCATAGTGCTTTTCTATACACTTTTCATTTTGTCTTTGTGATTCTCACTTTTGGCACCCTAGCTACAATAGGCTGCTTCTCATCTTTTATTAAAGATGTCCTTTTATACAGGGCCTTGGTACATTCTATTCCCTAAACTTAGAATAGTCTTTTCTCTCATCTGCCATATTTCTTTGGCAACCACTTTTGGACATATTGATGAAATATAAGCACTACATCAGTAGCCTTGTGCAGTCTACTGATTATCCTTCCCATCAGTTTGTCACAGAACAAGCAAACAGTTTGTAGCATTTAAGAAATTAAATGCTAAAACAGCACCTTAGAAAGATCTAGTCCATTGCCCCACCTCAATTTTTGGGAAGACCAGGATCATACTGATTATATTATTCTTTCATGGTTGTGGGAAATTAAGGAAGGTCTGAGGATACCATTCACATCTCCTATGGCTCATTCCAGTGCTTATTTCAACTATAGTGCATGCTTATTTATACACCTTACCAAGTTCTTTACATACATTTCCACTGCATACTCCAAGCTGGATTACTTCATCTAGTGGAAGAAAAGAAACAATGCTAGATATAGAATTGCATTTCAGGTACAGAGCAATAGATAAACTAGAAGTAGGCAAAGTTTACTTTTACCCCAAAGGATATTAAGGAAACAACATCTTTGCTTCTGGCATGATAGATTAATAAAAATACGTATAATGACAATGATAATAACAATTCACATGTATTCTGAAGACATAAGATGTCAAGCACTGTGTTAGACTTGTTATATACTCATTTAATCCTCAGGGCAACCAAAATGAGACAAATACTCTTATTATTGCTTTTTGTAGAATAGAAAGCCAAGGTTTAGAGAGGTTTAGAAATAAGCTTGATTCATGGTGGGTGCAGTGTGCACCACTTGGAGGCTGGGCATGCTTGAAGCTCTGGCATAGAGGGGTGGGGTGAGGGGGCAGGGGCAACATATGTAACCCTAACAATATTTATAACCACAGAATATGAGATAATAAAAAAATTTAAAAAAAGAACTTGAGCGATAAAGGTTACAATGAAAAGAATAAAATAAATATTCCTGGAGTCTATAAAAAAAAAGAAATAAGCTTGAATTCACACAGCTGTGTATGTGTATCCAGATCTGACCAGAATCATGTTGAATATGTCCTCTAACTGTGTATGAAACTGAGAGTTAGCTTGGTATCAATTAAGTCATTTTTGGGGCATACATTACACCAACGTTGGGTAGATTAGCTCAGGCCCCAGATGGGATTAGAACCAAACAGCACACAGGTTTAGGGCTATGAATAGCCCTCTACCTTCCTTCCAGAGACTCAATTATTCCTAGGCAAGTGCCAAGGTTAGTTTCTCCTTCTGAAGTCCATACAGATATTTGATCACCAAGTGTAGCTTGTATTTGATAGCATATATTACTATGCAAAAATACTTTTTAAGTAATTTTGATAATGAAGCAAATTTTAGATAATTCTTAATAGCTTTGTTGAAAAGATGGTGGAGACTTTTTAAAAAGTTGGTGAAATATATAATGTTTTCAAATTGTCTATTAACTGATACACAGTCATTTTATACTTTATAATAATATTTGTATAATTGTGTTCCCTGGGTACCAAAACCTCCAAAATATGAAAAAATACAAATTTCTATGTAACGGATTCAAGTTGGTGAGAATCCTATATATAATTAACTTAGAATTTACTAGAACATTTAGTTAAAGGAAATTGTTTATTTAAAATATTAGAAGAGCGTATGGCAAACCCTCAACTTCTAAACTGTTAAATAACCTTAGGGCTCAGGAAAAGGGTTATTGTACTACATATGGAATTCTTTCCTTACTATTAGCTGAACTGTGTTTCACTGCTTTTGTAACAAACCTATAAGAGAATTTTATATTCAAAATTTAGAGCAACAATAGTTATTTATTTTACACATTGTTTTGCTCCTATAGACTCTGCAGCACAAGAGCACTCATTGTTGCTCTCAAGAAAAAAGATCAAAAATTCACAGTCAGACTACTTAACAACTAGACATGCAAGTTATATCATCCAGAGCAATAGATGGTGAAATTAAAAGAAGGAGATCTAACCCACGTATCTATAGTTACCTTGTCAAAGCCAAGAGCAGGTACTCTTGGCGTAAATGGAGTGGACTTGGGGGTGAAGGAGGATGTAGCACTAGGTTCAAGTCCTAATCACTTCTGGGTTATGTTCTCCATTCTCCTGATCAATAAAAGCAATAGATTACATATAAAATATCAAGTTTAGTTCCAGGAACACATTTTAAAATTGACATTGAAAAACCAGTATATTTGGAAAAGTAGGATCATGATGGTGAGAGGAACAGTTAAATGAAAGGATTTGTGCACGGGTCATTTAAGTAGAAGATTGGATTTTTTCATTATGTAGCACTTGAGGGCAATGCTCATGACTCTGGATAAAAGTCTGGAAGACACAAAAATGGCTGTTGGCAAAATATAAACAAAACCCAACTGATCATTAAAATGATAGCTAGAACTGACTCTTCTGACTAGAAAGAAAGAAAAAAAGAAAGGAAAACAGTAAGGAAGGAAGAAAGGAAGCAAGGAAGGAAAGAAAAGAACAGAACACAGTTTCCAATTCTCAAGAAATAGAGCAATAAAGAATATGCTAACAACTACACCAACATATACAGCATGCTATGGAAACCTCTATAGTATAGACCATCAGTTCCTTCAAATAAATTATAATAATAGGAACAAGAATACCCATGGAATAGATTAAAAGAAATATAAAAAAATTAGCAACCCATTACAATGTATGGAATTACTGTGTCATGATTCAAACAATCTTAATAAAATTTTGATGAAAAAACTGAAAACATAATCTGGATATTAGATGATATTAAATGATTATATTTGTAGTAGGATA